ATTCTTAGTGTCTTTCGGGTGTAATTGAGAAATTAAATACCATAATTATAATGCTTAGGAGACTACCTTCTCATACCAACTCACAAGATGGAAAGAGGGGAAAAGGGTGAGACATCACATGGACAGACAGAAGCAATATGGAGTCCCACAACATTATTGTCCATGTTTTTTCCTCATTCTTAGTGTCTTTCGGGTGTAATTGAGAAATTAACTACCATAATTATAATGCTTAGGAGACAGTATTACCTTCTGATACCAGTCTAGGAGCAATATTGATTGGACGCATATAGTGTGTTAATATTCCAATTGGTACAGGAGCAAGATAAAAGTTTTTTTTACCTTTTTCACCTGTTGGAATAAAACCAGAAAGCTTAACTGCAAAGTTGACAAAAGAACAAACTAAAAGAAAGTAAAAAAATATTCATTTGCTAAATTAAATATCATACACACTCATAGATAGTCAATTAGTTAAACTCTGAAAAACATAACATCACTGAAATATAAGCTATAATTATGAGTTGAAACTCCCAAGTAGAACAGTTCTCAAATTATACAAACCTATTAGAAACGACTCGATTTTTCCATAAAAAACTGAGCACCACTCCTTAGTCATAGCTAACACAACACTACTTATCCTACCAATAAATGATAGAAATAACAAAATAAAGTCTATAATCAACCACAAGCAAGGTAAAATCCATAAGATTCGATACCAGCCGCAATTATCTATCTGATGAGTAGTCTTCAATGGGGTGGAAAATCCCAAGGCATGATTGGCAAATGTTGCACAACTTTCTTCAATTTTGTCTATAGTTCCTCCAACCTAGCAAGTTGGCATAAAATATAGATGTTATAATTCAACTATTAACTCACCACAGATCTTTGCAATCCCCGAAAGAAGGATAAAGGAACATCATGCCACAACTTACATTCACAAGCACTGAATTATGGCATGCATTAAACATAGTGACAGCTTTCCTGAGTTCAAATCACAATTGAAAAAGTAAAGAATCAGTGTCATACAGATGTACCTGTAGGTTTGTCCAAAACCACATAGGAGTCAGTCACAGCTATGAATCTCGATTTCCAGTCAATTTCATAACACCTGGTCCAAATACAAGTCTCAATAGTATAACACTGGAAAAAATAAAGTAACAAGTGTAAAATCCAGTGTTTCACCCTGGGAAACGATTGGGGTGCACTGGACACGTAAGTATGTTCCGGATTGTACAAACTGATCAACATGGGTTATTTGAAATGTCTTCTGTGCTTCTCTTACAGTTTTTCCTAATGGATGCTCTTTTACTCAAAACTGATGGTGCTATAACTTCTTCAAATATCCTAATTTGCTCTCAGGTGGCACTAGGAGCAGCCTGTGGACAGTGGACACACAAGGGCATAACATACCGCTCCAAATTGGATGAGATCTGCAACAAACCTTCAAAGACAGAAATTTTCTATATATCACTCTGCTCCGATTAATTAAAGATTACTGCAGAACTTCACAAATCATACAGTTTAAAACAAAAGGAAAATAACTTACAGAGAAGGAAGATCCAGTGCTTTATAGATACACTCTAGAACAGGCCCTCCTTCTGAAACAACTAAGTGTTCAATTCTTGGCGGGCCATTGTGGGAGGGACATGGAAGCAACCGATGATATTCGGGATAGCTGCAAAGGAAATGAATCTCAATTACAAAATATAGAATTCGCATCAAAGGATATGAATAGCAAGAAAAAGAAGGGTAACCTCAATATAGTGACACATATAAGAGAAGAACTTAGAGAAACCTGTAACATTCATCAAATACTGACAACATAAGAGCATCAAAATTATTCCATCATTCATAGCTATTACATATCGAGATAAAAAGATATTCGAAAGTCTTAAGTCAATTAGAGCCAAGAATCCTACATGCCTTTTCTTTCAAATGCTAAACATCAGAAATGTTTTAGGCAATGTTTGAGATTATCAAAATCTTCATGAGTTCTGGAATCAAATTAAAATATCAAAATTTATAGCTGAAACGTTAGAAAAACACAATAATAAATTTTAAAAAAATATATATGCTTTAACTGCCCATTAAGAGAAAGAACCACTTAGTTATTATCCTTTTCTTCTCATTTCTAATCCAAAAGATATATATATATATATATATAGATATATATATATATATATATATTCTTCTCAAACAGATACCCAACAACAAAAACACAAAAAACAAAAGAAAAAGAAGCTAAATTACTCATTAACAGAAGTAGTAGGTGTTTGAGCAGCATCCACTTTGGAAGATAAACAATAAAGCTCTCTCTTGCTTGAACTCAAACAAGACAAAACAGTACTCTTTTCTGTTGCTCTTGTTAAATTTATGTAAAGAAGAAGCATTGGGTGATGCTAACGTGCGAACAGAGACTCTGGTAGCCATTGCTGAATATTGAAACTAAGCCCGCTGAAGTCATCCACTTCATGGTTTAGCTTGTAACATTGTGCCTTTGCTTATTGAGGGTTTAAGATTATTCGGATAGGATTTGGGTTGGCTTTGAATGTTTGGGGCCAGTCAGTTGCAATCAATCTGGAGATTTTAGGCCCTTATTTCCTTTGGGTTAAGCTCATGTTTCCTTAGAAAATGTATTTTTCATGTTAATCATTAACCGCCTTTTTCCGCCCAAACCCAAAATCATTTTCTATCATTCTTCAACTTCCATCAAGGGAATGGCAAAGCTGCCTTTTTCATATTACTAATACAGAAAACAGTTAGGATTGAAAAAGGCAGGTAGCTGTCTTGTTTTACAAATTAGGAATGATATATTCATACTAATTTATATGTTGTTTAAAACTTATAATTATTTTTTATTTTTAAATTATAACTTCTTTTGCAAGAAAAAATCATAGGTTTATTATCTCAAAAAGTATATACGTACATATATAATTCGAAAATTAGGATACATGTGATATTTCTCAATTTAATATCTAGTTTTTTTTGTCATTCTAACTTGAGAATTGTAAATTAAAACCAAAAGTTCAAGTTGCTAGGTTTTCTCATTGAAAATGAAGGGAGAATTATTTATATATGTAACTGTATGAATAGATCATCATTTAAATTATGGAAAAAGCATGCACAAATATTTCGAGATTTATTATCATAAATTTAGCTTATTCAAGTTCTATGGTTAACGTTTCTTCTTCTTACCCAAATAAATGTTCTAATTAAAATTAATATTGACAAAACTTATTCAGTCTCTCGATCATTTGGTAATTACTATATTTTAATACGAAACAGTCACCAAAGCTAGACAAAAAAGCAATGCGCCAATGCATGTTGAATATTTTCAATAAAATGATCTAGCTCTTGCAAATTAACTGAGTTTGAGAAATTTAAATTGACTTTCACCGAATTAATTTAATATTATGTAATTATGTAATCATCGTATGTAATTTTTGATATTATTATAATTATAATATATAATTATTAATATTACATTTAATTATATAATTTTATAATATTACAAAATATTACATTGACAAATTCAACTAAAAATTTAAAATTGAAACCCTGAAATTCGTGAATATGAACACAACTCATATATAAATTTTCCTGCCAATTGCCAACCCAATGTATCGGCAAAGAAAATAGTTAAAGAAAAATCAAATTGGCAAAAAGAGAGAGAGAGTGGCTAGTCAATTCATTTAGCATTATATTATGTATATGAATTATAGATGATGACTACCAGAGAAAAGGTGCAGAGCCAACTGTCATGATCTATATTTGAGTAAGCTATAAGAAAAATGCAATGAGATGACCACCGATGAGACATAGTCATGTGTTTGGTACCATAATCAATTGTATTTCTTTTTCATTTACTTCATTAAAACTTTTAGGTAAGCAGATACGGCACACATTAACTCCCGGTTACCATATTAGGTCAACCGATGTCGGCTTTTTCTGAAAGCACTGGTTATGGACAACGCATGCAAAAACCGGCAACCCCACTCCAATAATTGACATTCCCCACCCGGCTAATTTCGGTTATTAAAAAAAAATCCCTAAACTAATTGAAACGTATATGCATGCACCAAATTTATTACCATTTGATTTTTATTGCTGATGATTCCATCGAGATATACAAATATTCTTTTCCTTTTTCATGGCAATCACACCAGGATTAGTACTATTTAATTCTCTTTTCTTACTTTATTATCTTCCTACTTTGTTCTTTTCTTAAACATGGCTTAACCAAGCTACTTTGACTAAACCAACACACAATTATTTTACTCCCCTTTATCAGTTTGGATAATTTGATATGACAAGGAAATTTTGTGTCACAAATCCACTTAATAAGAGTATAGTATAATCATTTATTACCATGTAATTTCACATTGCACCTACTCTTATATATCTTCACCCTTTCTAAATGATGATAACTTAATTATATTATTGTATAGAGTCCACTAATCGAATAATCTTGACTCTTGATCTATTTTTTAATTTATTAAACATGCATTAACATTTACATTATTCGTTAATTAACAAATTCTCTGTACATGAAATCTTATGATCATGATGCTAATAAGCCAACTAATTCCTACTATATCCTACCCCATATCGGGCATCAATCCATTATTGGTATTAGATCCCCTCAATGATAATTTCAATTTACGTCCAACAAGCTAACAACTAGGTCAGCGCCACAGTTTCATGAACTTAATCGCCGAGCAATTAGCACAAATATATATGTATCATCAGAGAAAATTAATCAATATGTAGCTGTATAAACAATATAATTTGTAATTGGCATTAAATTTTTGTGACCTATTGTTGCGTACTACTACTTGAACATATAGTAAATGTATCTGATGAAATAAATTAATGTACGGATAGCTGTTGGACCAAATTCATTTAATTCACTCTTTTCCTTGTTCTATAAAACCACCACAAAATCTTCACCCCTCTGTTGTATACTAGTTTTCCTCCTTTTTTTCTCTTCAGATAAAAAAAAAATGGAGTTGATAGATCTTTTCATCATTGGTTTGGCACTTATTTTCATTCGTCTATGGTGGCGGTCCTGGTCAGTCACTGGAGGCGCACCTAAGAATCTCCCTCCAGGGCCACCCGGTTGGCCCCTTGTTGGAAACCTGATCCAAATCATCCTCCAACGTCGACATTTCGTCTTTATAGTACGTGAGTTACGTAAAATATATGGTCCAATTTTTACCTTGCAAATGGGGCAACGGACTATGGTGATTGTTACAGATTCCAGGCTCATCCATGAAGCCCTGGTTCAGGAAGGCCCAACTTTTGCCTCCAGGCCACCGGACTCACCGATCCGGCTGGTGTTCAGTGTTGGGAAATGTGCCATTAACTCTGCTGAGTATGGACCTCTCTGGCGAGCCCTGCGCAAGAATTTTGTCTCTGAGCTGATAACGCCTACGAGAGTGAAGCAATGCAGTTGGATCCGGAAATGGGCAGTTGAAAACCACATTAAGAGAATCAAAAGCGAGGCTTTTGAGAATGGGTTTGTAGAGGTAATGAGCAACTGCAGGCTGACTATATGTAGCATCTTAATCTGTTTATGTTTTGGTGCAAAGATCTCCGAAGAGCGGATTAAAAAAATAGAAAGCATACTTAAAGAAGTAATGCTGGTAACGTCACCACAGCTACCAGATTTCTTGCCTATCCTTACTCCATTGTTTCGTCGGCAAATGAAAGAAGCTAAAGCACTAAGGAAGAGGCAATTGGAGTGTTTGGTTCCACTGATAAATAACAGAAGAGCTTTTGTGGAGAAGGGTGAAAACCCTAACCAAGAAATGGTGAGTCCAATCGGTGCAGCCTACATAGATTCTCTCTTTAGACTAGAACCAGCAACCCGAGGCCCACTAGGGGAAGAAGAGTACGTGACTCTATGTTCTGAGGTGATTAGTGCCGGCACTGATACGAGTGCAACAACAGTTGAATGGGCTATGCTTAGCTTGGTAATGAATCAAGAAATCCAAGAAAAGTTGTACCAAGAAATTGTTGGTTGCGTAGGCAAAGATGGCGACATTAAAGAAGAAGATGTGGAGAAAATGCCTTATCTTGATGCTGTAGTTAAAGAAACTCTCAGGCGACACCCTCCAGGACATTTTCTTTTATCTCATGCAGCTATAAAGGATACTGAGCTTGGTGGCTACACGATTCCAGCAGGGGTTCACGTTGAGTTCTACACTGCATGGATTACTGAGAATCCTGATATTTGGTCTGATCCAGGTGAATTCCGACCCGAGAGGTTCTTGCATGGTGATGGGGTTAATGTGGACGTGACGGGGACTCGGGCTGTGAAGATGGTGCCATTTGGGGCAGGGAGACGGATTTGCCCGGCTTGGAGTCTAGGCGTTTTGCACATAAATATGTTGGTTGCAAAGATGGTTCAATCATTTAAGTGGCTGCCGGTTCCGGAGTCTGGACCCGACTTGACTGAGACTTATTCCTTCACTGTTGTGATGAAGAACCCTCTCAAAGCTGTCATCTTGCCCCGGTAAGAAATTGAAGCTTCAACAAGCCCCTAACAAAAGGGAAGAAAAAGAAAAATGTAGAAGCTTATATAATATATTTAATTAATAATACTTTTGGTATGGTTTGTTAAGTGTTTAATCATGTATTTCAAGCATTTCATCTAGAACCCATTTTGAGTGCTCTCTGAGGGAGTAACAATATTGATTTTAATTTTTGCTAGGCAAGCAAGAGATCGCTTGCATTTTTAATGCTTGCCCAATTGGTCATGATTCTATAAATAAAAATTTAGTTAATAACAACCAGACAAATGATTTGATGTAGATCAGTCCTCAAAATGGTTTTTTTAGTAGATTAATTAAATTCTCTCAAATGCTCTTTCATCTTCCTTTTGCTATAATTCTACGTGTTGTTATTAATTCTTCGATGGCATTCAATAAGATAAAATTAGAATGTCCAAAGTATTGAATTGAAAAACAACTTTTTCCGTATCAGTATGCAAGCAACTGGCAGCCTTCATGTTCAGCATTGTTCACAATATTCATGATAACTGCTTAGCTTTATTAGCCACATTGTCTTTGGCGGACTTTGTATGATCTGTAGAGAAAAATATAAGCTGTCTTAAATAATATTTAAGAGCCACACCAAACGTTTTGATAATGAAGTGATCCGTCATATTCATCAATGTCCAAAACCGTTAGACTTTATTGCTTCTGTGGTCTTAATTTATTGGCGATTCTTAGCAGTCTGGGAATTGATCGGAGACTAAGGGGAGATGCCTAAGGATGCTTTACAATTATTTATAATAATAATAATAAGACATTACTAATTTCATTTTTTCATTTTTTAATACAACTTGACCCACGTGCAGTTAGTTAAGACAGAAGATTTTTTTATCAATTTCGTTACGGTCCTTAAGAAGCATTCTGAAAATAAAATTTTTAATGTATTAAATTGATATATTGTAATATATGTTGTAATAAATGCAATAATACTGCTACAGTAACATGGATTAATAATTTGTTACCAAATCCTTTGGCGTTGGCCAATCCATAACAATGGGGAAGGGGTGCAATCGCTATCTAATTTGATCCGCGCGTCTTTGCCATTGGCTCATCGCATCAATTTGCACTACCACACCATCTCGCCATGTTTCTCCTCCGATCCCCAGGAGTAAGTAACAGAGAATAAAAAAATAGAAAAAAAAAATTAAAGACAGCCTGGCTCGTTGCAGGCCATAAAGTTAGTGGCCACTTGATTCTCTTAAATGATAGTAAAAGAACATTCATTGCATTGCCATTGGCAAAATGGCAAGAACAAGCTATCACGGTGGATGCTAGCTGGAAAAAAAGTTCTGGATTATAAAAACGATTTTGCTTGACTAATGATGTAAACGATCGATAAAAAATACTGTATTAGATGAATGCACAATAGTCAAGAAGACAATTGTTCTGATGTTAAAAAGAAAGAACTTCTAATGTAATTTTCTTAACTAGTCTTTTGGACCTTAATTTTTATTTTTTCCTGTGGATACGAATTTCTCATGAAATCTTTTGTAGAGTGGTTTATTTTGTCGTCAATACTCAAAATATATGATCATAAACCGAATAAACTAAAGAATATTAGTAATTCAATCATTTCAAATATTGTGAGATATGAACTTGGGGCATTAATTCATATTTCCATAAAATTGAAGTTGGATCTGAACATTAACAACTATTTCTTTCCTAGTTTGTCCTAGAGCTGGGTCTTTTTTGTATAAAAAGTTGCGTAATAATACATTAGCAAACGCCATTAAAATTTTGAAATGTTGGCAGGTAGATCAAGCCAATAAATGTTGGCGCAGATTGGTCCAAAAGAAAATGGTACAAGTGACGATTTGCCATATTAATGAATGCTGTTCGTTGTACCAATCCACAGCCAACTGCCAAGCTGCTAACTGTTGCCGGTGTTAATGATCTGCAGTAACTGGTCTGCTAGCTTTCTACGCTTCTGTAAATAAACAAATTAACCACTAAAACAAGGAAATGTACACATATTAAATCTCTGCCACGCCCATACATCAGGAGTGGAACCAGCTTGACACTGAGAGAAAAATTACTTTTACTATAATTTGGTCGAAAGCAGGCAACATAGATATGTCTACGTACGTATGTTTATTTCCTGAATAAATCTAAGCCCAAGTGCGATTAAAGACCATTAATTAATACTAGGTTTGATTATTATGTGACCATTGACCACAGCTATAGAACATGTATGAACAAAAGTTTTGCTTCTTGATTATACATATTTTAATTAATATAATCAAGTTTAACAAGTTTTAAACTAGTATGGGTTTTCGAACTAGAAAAAGAAGAACAACTTACTATTACTTATATTAAAGCCAATCGAACATGGCAAGAAGGAACCCATCTGAATTAATTATCATGCACAGATGAAACGTTAATCAAACCTCAAAATTTTCAGTCTTAAGCTTACTATAGAAGTAGCATTGAAAGTTGATACAGAAAGTAGGTGGAGCAACTAAATTGGGGAGTTGGATCCAAGTCAAAAAAGCAAATAGTACAATTCCAATAGTAATAACAATGAATTCCTGTGGACCCATTGGATCGATTGCTCGGAATTTTTGTGAATGATTATGTATATTAATGTATTTATATATGAATTCATATTATTATAAAAATAATTTTACAATAATCTTTACGGTGATGAATATTGAAATTAATTTATAATGAAAATCTGCTTACTTGCTAACATAAGAAAAAGAAATTGACCAATTTGTTAAGTTATTGTTCATAAGTATCATTTTTATGAAACTATTTGTTTATTATCAAGTATTTAAATTTAAATTTAAACTGTTGTTAAAATTTTATATTTAAAATTAATATTTTTTATAAGGTATGAAATCATCATATTAGATCAAAAGAAAATTTGACTAAATTAAAACGATCTAAAACTTAGATTCAAAAGTAAAAACAACCAAAATTTGATATAAATTGAACTAAACATTTCAAATATGAAATGATCATCACCGAAAGTAGGCCAATCACAAAACAACTGTAACCCAAATTAACGAAGATGATTTGAACCCGTAAAACATTATAAACATGTTAATTGACCTAACCATTTTCCTTTAAAACCACATTCATTTGTTGGATACACATTGTTATATTTTATTAAAATTAAATGCCATTCTTTTTTTTGTTCTTCTATTACTATTCTTATTGTACATTTCTTCTATATCTAGAAAATAACGTACTGTAAAATTATAATATTTTATTTGCACATGATTTTCATTAATCTTGTCTCTCATATAGAGTTGAGAATACGAATCAATCTGTTTCTTTCCTCTCTTTAACTCCAGGGTAGCCTCCTTCGTTACTTTAATAGAAATGGAATTGCAAACCCAAGGGATCCCTTTTTATGGACTCATTGCATTGAGCCAGAGTGCTAGACTCTAATTATCAACAAGAAATTTTACCCTCAATGTTGGGTTCTTAAAGCCCGAAATTTGTCACTTCCAGACTCCGTTGAAGCCCAAAAAAATGGCCTTTCTCTCGTCTCATTCCTATCTTTGTCCGCTTGTTATTCATTTTTGCCCCCATTGTCTTTGACCGTTTGGTTGAAACTGATAAAGTACTTAAAGCTCAATCTATCACATGGCAAAATCACACCCAGTTGGAAAAACCCAACCCAAAGTCTAAAGTAAACAGAGAAAAGAAAATCTAGAAAAGATGAACAGACAAGATATGGAGTGGTGTGTTTCGATGCCAAAGGTTGAACTTCATGCCCACCTCAATGGTTCAGTTAGGAACTCTACTCTCCTGTGAGCTTACTTATCCCTCTCTCTCTCTCTCTCTCTCTCTCTCTCTAAGGTTTCAATTATCTTTGCTATCTGAATAATGAAGATTATTTTGGTAATATTGTTTTTTGACAGAGAACTTGCAAGAGTTTTGGGTGAAAGGGGTATCATTGTTTTCTCTGAGGTGGAGAATGTTATAATGAAAGGTATGTTTCCTCCTCCTTTTTTAATTATTTACGCCTCTATTTCATTGCTGAAAAAACAATAAAAAGCAAACAAGAAATATCCTCTGCTCAATTATGCCATGTGCACATTGTGTGTTGATTGAGTTGGGGTTTGGGGTTGGAAATTTTGATTGATTTAATTATTCCTTGCACAATTAGGAAAACGAGGTTTCATTATATTGTGTTCTGCATGTTAAAGATTGATATTTGGAAACTCCTAAATTTTTTTCAATTCAGATGACCGTACTTTACATGAAGTGTTCAAGCTGTTCGACCTAATCCACATTCTCACTACTGATCACTCGACTGTTACAAGAATTACTACAGAAGTAAGGAAGCTTTCTACTTGAAGGCATCTTTTACCATAATTCGTCCATACTGATTCCTCATATTTTTGTTGCTCTTTCAACATACAGGTTATTGAAGATTTTGCTTCTGAGAATGTTGTATATCTAGAGCTTAGAACAACTCCTAAGGTACTTGCATTGCCACATTTTAGTTTCGTGGGGTGGAGTTTCTTTTGCATGATAAAACAGCATGTAGTTTTGAATTAATGAACTCATGGAACATTGTACAGAGAAATGATTCCATAGGAATGAGCAAACGTTCTTATATGGAAGCTGTGATGGAGGGTTTAAAGGCTGTCAGTTCAGTTGATGTTGATTATGCTCCTACTGGTTTGAAGACCAATACATTTAATGGAACTACAAGAAAGAAGATATATGTTAGGTTTCTTCTCAGTATTGACCGCCGGGAGAGCACTGAAGCTGCCATGGAAACTGTATGTTAGGAATGCAGTTTATGGAAAGCTTGTTATTTGTTCAATAGATAAGGCATCTAATATCTTTATCTTTCCCTTATTTTTAGGTTAAGCTTGCACTGGAAATGAGGGATTTAGGGGTAATCGGCATTGATCTCTCTGGAAATCCAATTGTGGGCAATTGGTACTCATATGCAAACAAGTCTTTCTTCTTTTTTTTTTTATTTTTCTTTAATTTTGTTTTGGATAAATAATCAGTAATAATGCCAGTAATTCTTACTAGCTTACCCATGATCATGTGTTTTAAATGTTATAATTATGTCATAATTCTGAATCTTCTTTGCATCTGATGTAGGGCTACATTCTTGCCAGCATTAAAGTATGCCAGGGAGCAGGGTCTCTATCTCACTCTTCACTGTGGAGAGGTGGTTTTTTTTTTCTACTGCTCAAAATTGTCATGATACTAGTGTGCTTTATAGTATTTTAAATAACACCGACAAGTTTATTTTCATATCTTAGTGCTTTTAGGTACCTAACCAAGAGGAAATCAAAGCAATGATAGACTTTCTTCCTCAGAGGATTGGTCATGCTTGTTGTTTTGAAGAGGAAAACTGGAAAAAGTTGAAATCATTGAAAATCCCTGTAAGATATTTATCACTTTGTATGTGGGTTAATATACAACTTTCAAAGTCTGATTTGAGCATAATTTATTAGATTGTGAAAACCCAGCCAAAGTTAATTCTATTAATCATGTTTCCTCTCATGAAGGTTCAATAATGCCTACACTTATACATTTATTGACATATTTTCTATTTAGAGAGGCTTTTTAAAGTTTAAGAGTTTGCATTGTAGGCCTGAATTTTACTGGTTTTAGAACATTTAGCAAGCTAAGATTTAAGATTTTCTTCTTTTTTATATCTTAAAAACCATTTGCAGGTTGAGATTTGTTTGACATCCAATATCAGGACGGAAACAATTTCTTCAATAGATATTCATCATTTTGGTCAGGCTTTTGTGCTTCCATCTCAACTCTTAAGAAATTAATTTTGCAAGTATATAATCAGCTACTCTTGAAGGATTGGAGAATATTTTGCCTTTTGGTACGAACTGACTTTTTGATATATCTGCTTGTAAAATGGTGTTGCAGTTGATCTATACAAAGCAAAACATCCTTTGATTCTGTGCACAGATGATTCTGGGGTTTTTTCTACCTGTCTTTCTGGGGAGTACTGTCTTGCGTCCTCTGCATTTGGCAAGTGGATAGTGTAGCTAGCATATGTGAAGGGTATAGGTCAAATAGTTTATGCACATTGATGATTTATCCTTTTTTCCCCAGGTCTTGGAAAGACTGAAATGTTTCAGCTCGCTGAAAATGCTATTGATTTTATATTTGCTGATGATGGAGTAAAGGAAGATTTGAGAGCAACTTTTGAAGTAGCTGCAGAGAAGCTGGATTTATGATTTGTAGCGGTTTCATAAGCATAATTGTACTTCCTAATTATACTTTATAGGCTAGTATTAACATTGTTGATCCAGTTTCAGTTGTGAGCATTTTGATCTGTAATTTCACCCTCTCCTCCTGTATGGTGCATTCAATGATCTTGAGATTTTTAAGCCGGAGTAGACAAGCCAGTTTTTAGGCCAGTTTCAGCCTGAAGTCATGGCCTTATACTAGCCGGCCCTTACTAAAATGCTGCCATGCCATTGGAAAGGGCATATGGCATGGCTACAATGAGAAGTGTATGCCGAGACTCTTAACATGAAGGAGTCTTTCTTGGCGTCAGTTGTAGAATGGTGAGCAAACTAATGGAAGCTGCTTGGTATCAAGTTACTGGCTTGGTGAGATACTTTTGGTTTTGGCATGCCGGAAATCTACCCTGTCCAACAATCATTATTTGTCACTCTCGCTAGAAAACTAGGGGTTTTTGGCATGGGAAAAATATTGCCAGCATAAACGACGCCGTTTCATTAAAACAAGGGTGCGGAAACATGTTGTTATGCCATCAGGTAAACGGCGCCGTTGCATATATCTCGCTTAACTATAAAAACGATAACAAAACGACTCCGACAACGGGAAGCGATAAGAAGAGAAAATAAATAAATAAATAAGGAAAACTGTGTCGGAGACAGAGGTCGTAGATCTCAGAGGATAGAAAATACGGCTACAATTTTCATTCAGTTTCTCATTTCTCTAAAGCTCCGGCCTTTTAATCTTTTTAAACCTTAACCCTAAAATAGGAACCTCATTTTTGTTATCGTCACCATTTTCAATACAATTTTCTCTCCGTGAAGAAATTCAAATGTGAAACATCATATCAACCGCCGGATCGGGATCAGAATCCTCTCCCCGTGCATTTTGATCGTCCGATCACAATGTCTTGGGGACTAGGATGGAAACGGCCTTCGGAGATCTTCCGTTTATCTCTAAACTACGGGTACGAAGAATCCGCGGAAGATCTCGACCGCGCATCATCGTCATCATCGATAAGTTCGTCTTCGTCCTCATCGGCATCGTTACCGCCGCCAGATCAGCAAGAGCTAGGGTTTAGGATCGATCTGGATTGGGTAGCGGCAGATGACGAGGACCAGGTGGCGCTAAGGCTGCAATCTCAAATGATGGTGGCGCTTCCGGTGCCGCAAGATACGGTAGCGATTGAATTGAGAGAGACGGGAGAAAATGTAGTGGGAGTGGAGATGAAGATTGAGAAGAGGAGGGAGCCATTACGGGCGGTTACGATGGCTAAGGCGGCCGGGTCGGGTCAGCAGAGTGATGGTGTCGGAGTTTTGGTTCGATTATTACGGTCAAATTTGGTTCCTTCTGGTGACGGGAGTCCGGTTGTATGCGGTGAACATTGGAGAAGTATCACTTTGCTCAGCCTTTGCAGTTGTGGTTTAACTGTAATTTCTTGCCTTTTTTTTTTCTTTATTTTTTGTTTTTATTTTTTTATTGGTGAAATGATTTTATTGAGAAATGTGGGTGATGGAGTGCAAGAAAATATAATTCTCACCTAGGCTAATTTAACTAGTAATTGATCTTTTTTAGTTTTTTCTTTGCTGGAAGAACAAATTGGTACGAGAAAAATGAGTGCATCAAATTTTATTATAAATATTTAAACTTTTGGACAGATCTGGATCAAGAAACCTAAAGAATGTTTCTTTTCCTCTCCTTCAGCGGTTTTAACACTCATTGGTTGCATACTTTTTGATACAGACACTGCCCGTTGAGCTAACTCGATTGCCAATTCTTGAGAAACTATATCTTGATTACAACAAGCTGTTACTGTTACCACCTGAGCTTGGTGAATTAAAAACCTTAAAAGTACTCAGGGTTGACTACAATATGCTTGTTTCAGTTCCTGGTAAGAATGATCTTGTTTTTCCGTCTAAATTATGTTCCTGAGAGTTGCATTACCATATCAGATTCATAACTTTCCATAGGAGGGAAAACATGTGTTCTCATGATTTTTGAAGGTCGAGGCCATTGCTGTTCCAACTTACTTGTCTGTTCATCATTATTATTGTTATTATTTTTTTGGTAATTTATGAGCAGTGGAGCTGAGACAGTGTGTCGGGCTGGTGGAATTGTCATTAGAGCATAACAAACTTGTGCGGCCTCTTCTTGACTTCAGGTCACTTTATTGACAATCAACTTATTTCTTTAAGCTTGTGAATATATAGTTTTCTCTGGTCTAATGTTTTTCTCCAGTTGGATGGCAGGGCTATGTCTGAGTTACAAATTCTTAGGTTATTTGGTAATCCACTTGAATTCCTTCCTGAGATATTGCCTTTACGCAAGCTACGTCACTTGTCCCTTGCAAATATCAGGATTGTGGCTGATGAAAATCTAAGATCGGTGACTGTGCAAATAGAGGTACAGGGTCTACAAATGTTAGCTGTTTGCATGCTCATGCCTTTACTTGAGTGTAGATAAATCTATGAATAAAACTGTTTCTCATGTTGGTGTTACAGATGGAGAATAGTTCTTATTTTGGTGCATCTAGACACAAGCTGAGTGCCTTTTTCTCTCTCATATTCCGTTTTTCCTCTTGTCATCACCCTTTGCTAGCCTCTGCACTCGTCAAGATAATAATGCAAGACCAGGGGAACCGTGTAGTTATTGGTAAAGATGAGAATGCAGTGCGACAGCTCATAAGCATGATAAGTAGTGACAATCACCATGTGGTACGCTGGATAATCTTTCCTTTTATGGATGACATTAGACGTGTCTTTTCTTTCCCCTTCTTACCGTGCAGTATCTTTGCTGCTCTTAATTGTGTCAGGTAGAACAAGCCTGCTCTGCCTTATCAACTCTTGCTGGAGATGTTTCTGTGGCAATGCAGTTGATGAAATGCGACATCATGCAACCCATTGAAACTGTTATGAAGTCCCCTGCCCCAGAAGAACTGGTTTCTGTGCTGCAAGTTGTGGTCACATTGGCCTTTGGATCTGATACTGTAGCTCAGAAGATGCTAACCAAGGATGTTTTGAGATCATTAAAAATACTATGTGCCCATAAAAACCCAGAGGTAACTTTCTGTTTTGAAATGATTCTTAAATTAAACGGTACAACAACAACAACAACAAACTAAGCCTTATATCCCATAACTCTGGGGTTGGCTGTATGAAAGGCCAAAAAAGGAATCATGTTTTGAATCTTCTTGCACCACTCATTTAATCAGGTGCAAAGGCTTGCTTTGTTAGCTGTTGGAAATTTGGCCTTCTGTCTGGAGAACCGTCGCATTCTTGTCACCTCTGAAAGCTTGAAGGAGCTTCTCATGCGACTGACTGTTGCACCTGAACCACGTGTGAATAAAGCTGCAGCTCGTGCTTTGGCAATTCTGGGTATATTTCTTCAATTTGATTTTTAACTTTCTTTGAGAATCTTTGAATCATTGGATCATCTGATTATGTTCTTTTGTAGGAGAGAATGAAAACTTGCGTCGTGCTATTAGAGGGAGACAGATACCAAAACAAGGCCTACGCATACTCTCCATGGATGGAGGTGGCATGAAAGGTCTTGCAACTGTGCAGATCCTTAAAGAAATTGAGAAAGGAACTGGAAAGCGAATACATGAGCTATTTGACCTTATATGTGGGACATCAACAGGTGGCATGCTCGCTGTTGCCCTTGGTATTAAGTTGATGACCTTGGACCAATGTGAAGAAATATACAAAAATCTAGGTGAGTATGCTGCATAAAGATTCTGTTAACAAAACTTAATTGGTAGTTCAATTTGTTTATTCTAGTCTTATATTGGCTTTGTAGGAAAACTTGTGTTTGCTGAACCTGTGCCAAAGGATAATGAAGCAGCAACTTGGAGAGAAAAGTTGGATCAGCTCTATAAAAGCTCTTCACAGAGTTTCAGAGTTGTTGTACATGGATCTAAAGTATGAATATCTCTTTTATGTATACGAATTTGTGCTTCTTTCTTTGATCATGCTAGAGTTGCTTTCATGTTTTCCTTGGAAATGTATGTCTATGAATGCATGAAGAGGCATGAAACAGAAAGTATATTTCAAACATATGAGAATTTTTTGTGTTTCCACAAGATGTTTTCAGAGTTTTCAGAGGAGTTACTATAATTTACTTTAAGGGTTGCTCATTCTGTATATTGCCTTTAATCAATAAAACATGGATTATTATTATTATTATTATGATCATCATCATCATCATCATTATCATCTTATTATTATTATTATTATTATTATTATTATTATTATTATTATCCATCATCATCATTATTATAATAATAATAATTATTATAATTGTTATTATTATTAGAGGTATTTTGTTATAGTAAAATCAATAATTCAAATGGGCATGTTTGTTTTACCTTTCAAAGCATCCTTTGCTTTCAACAAGGCACTATAACGTCTAGTATTGCAGCACAGTGCAGATCAGTTTGAAAGGTTGCTAAAGGAAATGTGTGCTGATGAGGATGGTGACCTACTAATTGAGTCTGCTGTGAAAAACATTCCAAAAGTTTTTGTTGTGTCAACTTTGGTGAGCGTTATGCCAGCTCAGCCTTTTATATTCCGCAATTATCAGGTTTGTCGTCAAGATTTCCTTTTTCTATCATGTAATATGAACTCTAATTGGTTAAAGTATTATGTTGCTCATATAGATATATGTGGACTATTTTATTATCCATTTTGGTAATATCTTGGCTGCTCTATGAGTTTGATTATACATTTATATTTTTCCTAATGTGCAGTACCCTGTGGGAACACCAGAGGTGCCTCTTGCGATATCTGAAAGTTCAGGAATCACCGTTCTAGGATCTCCAACTACTGGTGCTCAAGTTGGCTACAAACGAAGTGCTTTTATTGGAAGTTGTAAACACCACATATGGCAAGCTATAAGAGCATCTTCTGCTGCCCCATATTATCTTGATGACTTCTCAGATGGTATTTTTCTTTGCTTGCTTAAGTTAACTATTTTTTTAAGAATGTCTAAACTTCTTAATCTCTATTTTAATTTATTTTACCTTTTATATAGATGTATACCGCTGGCAAGATGGTGCTATAGTGGCAAACAATCCAACTATCTTTTCCATAAGAGAAGCACAACTTTTATGGCCTGATACAAAAATTGACTGTTTAGTTTCAATTGGCTGTGGTTCTGTGCCTACAAAGGTAACTGCTTTGTTTTGTGTTTTTTTCCATCCAAGTTATTTGTCATGAGATCTGGCTTTTAGTGGCTATAAAACTTTTCCAAGTACAATGACCATTTAAAGTGCAAATCACCATTTTATAAGGATATTCATGCAGAATAACGGGAAACCGCGTAGGCACTTTTAATGATGTTGCAAGTTTATTACATTTCTAAGCAGTTCTGATATTTTGACTAATTGGAGGATAAAAAATCTGAAGATTTAATTTTCTGTTTACCTTTTCATTGCTGATCATATTGAAGTTTAAGATTCATTACTTCATTCCATGGATTATTGAGTATCTTTCTGTTGTAGGCACGAAAAGGTGGTTGGCGTTATCTAGATACTGGGCAAGTGCTGATTGAGAGTTCATGCTCTGTGGACCGAGTCGAGGAAGCTTTGGGTACACTGTTACCTATGCTCCCTGAGATCCAATACTTTCGTTTTAATCCAGGTACAAACTCTTGGTTCCTTATGGCTTTCACGGGTGAGGGTTGGAAGTCAGTTTTAACCCTGGCTGATGTCTCCAAAAATAGCTTTCATCCAACCATTTTTTAATTCAATCTAGGAATTTATTATTTTGCAATAGCTCTTTAGTGAAATAGTTATGAACTCTTCATTATTTTATATGGTTTTGCAGTTGATGAACGTTGTGACATGGAGCTGGATGAGACTGATCCAACAGTTTGGCTGAAGTTGGAAGCTTGTGTAAAGGACTACATTCAAAACAATTCTGCATCCTTCAAGAATGCATGTGAAAGACTTCTGCTACCCTTTGCACATGATGAGAAGTGGACAGAAAATTTGAAATCTCAACATTTTGCCAGGGCAAAGGCATCAAATGCAGGTATTAGACCTCATTTTTATAGTTTTCCTATGTTCTAATTTTCTGGATACTCTGCTGATTTTTTTTGTTTAAATTCTTGTGTGTTGAGTAGATGAGAATAGCCCTTCATTAGGTTGGAGGCGAAATGTACTACTTGTTGAAGCTTTGCATAGTCCTGATTCGGGAAGAATTGTGCACCATGCTCGGGTACTAGAGTCATTTTGTGCACAAAATGGAATAAGATTATCTCTTTTGCATGACATATCTGGATTTTCAAAGACGTTACCTGCAACAACATTTCCAACACCATTTAGCTCTCCTCTGATCACCGGAAGTTTCCCTTCAAGCCCACTTTTATTCAGTCCTGATGTTGGCCTACAGAGGCTTGGCCGAATTGAGATGGTCCCACCTTTAAGCTTGGATGGATTACAATCTGGAAAGACAGCTACATCACCCCCAAGGTCTCCTGGACCCAGACAGCTCTCTTTACCCGTACGGTCATTGCATGAGAAGTTACAGAATCTACCACAAGTGGGAATTATACATTTGGCCCTTCAAAATGACTCAGTTGGCTCAATATTAAGGTCTAAAAGCCCGTCTATTTTGTGGCATTACTTGTAAGTGTAGTTTATGCCCCAGTCCTAACATGCTAGCTGCTTCTTTTCTCTAGTTGGCAAAATGATGTGTTTGTCGTGGCTGAACCTGGAGAACTGGCTGACAAGTTTCTACAAAGCGTGAAGGTTAGCATGTTGTCTGTGATGCGGAGCCAGCATCGGAAGGGTGCATCACCTTTTGCCAATGTTACAACTATTGCTGATTTGATTCGTTGTAGACCATACTTCCAAGTTGGAAGCATTGGCCACAGATATATTGGACGCCAAACCCAAGTGTGCATGCTTTTCTCATTTGCTTTCAAATGATTTTGATTGTTGTTGGTTTGATGTTACCAAATCTAATGAACTTCTGTTGTGATTTTCATGACATCTCTTAAAGGTCATGGAAGATGATCAAGAAATCGGGGCTTACATGTTTCGCCGTACAGTCCCTTCTTTGCACATGACACCTGATGATGTTCGTTGGATGGTATGTATATGGCTCTCATTTGATTATCTGATTTAGCCATCAAAGCACATGATACCCAATGATATTCATTGGATGATTTGTATTCCCCTTTTTTTCACTTTAGTGAAGATTTACATGAGGAAATCTTTGATGGTTAACCATTCTCTACTTTATGTCTATTGAACGTCCTGTGTGCTGCTTGTCTTTTTAGGGCAATATTGCATTTGCAAGATTGGTGTAATTTTTCTTTGGTTCAGTTGCTTAAACTTCTATAGATTGAGATGACCTTGCCAAACATAAGATTTAACTTGAGATAATTGGATCTAATCATTGAATGAATAGAAATAGCTACTATGAAATGAGGATTATATTTTCCATAAGCCTGTAGTATTAACTATCAACAGTTTTCAGCCAAATGACATTTATTCTTGATGTTATCCATGTCAACTTAGGGCTATGGTGTCATCATATTCAATGAGACCACTCCCTTTCAATGGCACCAGAAGTCTTTGTTTATATGTTTTATGTTATTTTATTTGTGTTCTCTATTGATCATGAACTGTGATGTCCTGAACGAAATTTTGTTTTATCATTATGTGGCTGACTTAGTTGAATAATGCTAGGTTGGAGCTTGGAGGGATAGGATCATAATTTGCACGGGAACTTATGGTCCAACTGCAAATTTAATCAAGGCCTTTCTGGATTCTGGGGCCAAAGCTGTTATATGCCCTACAGCTGAGCCCCAAGATGTGTCAGTGAACGTATCAGGAGAGTATAATGTTCTGGAAAATGGAAGGTTTGAGATTGGTGAGGAAGATTTAGAAGATGAGGAGGCTGAACCTATCAGTCCGTTGAGTGACTGGGAAGATAGTGACTTGGAGAAGAATGGGGACCTTTCTACAAGGTTTTGGAATGAAGAAGAAGAGGAACTATCAAGGTTTGTCTGTCAGTTGTATGACTCAGTATTTCGTGAAGGCGCAAGAGTGGATGTTGCCCTAAAAAATGTTCTTGCCTCTCATCGTAAGCTGAGATATTCCTGTCACCTTCCTAGTGTAAAATAGCTTGTCAAATAAATCACATACAACATTAAAATCAAGAACAAAAGGAAAAAGAAGCAAATATATAGAGAGAGAGAGAGAAAAAGAATATATTAAGTGCATGAATAATTACAAAAAATAAGAGGCACCATTCAGTTTTGAGGCTCATGAGAAAACATTTGTTGTCAACCATTCATTACATGAACAAGATTATAGATGTTTGTATTGTTTTACTGGAAAGATATAGAAATTTAAGTTTCTTCAAAGCAGTGCCTGCTGATGGTCTTTTCTGTTGTGGAAAATCCTAATGCCAGGTGTGTTTTGTCTAACCTTTGTCTTCTTATGAGCTCATTTCCGTATCAGTATGGGTTTCATTTCATATCATTCGAGTGTAAGGTGTTTATGCATGGTGTGCAGTTGGTGAAAATTGCCACAGGCCAGGTTCTCCGCCACAGTTACTCTTAAGGTAAGGTTAGTGATTATCTGAATCTCCTGTTCCCAGCTGTCACCAAACTTCTTCAATATCTTTCAGTTCCTGGGATCTGGGATCACTCCCATTGGCCCATGGCATGAGGGCTGATGCCCTAGAGACGCTCTTCTTTCTTTATGTTAGACTTGTTTCATCCTATATATTTTCAGTTGACTTAGCCTCTTTTACCCGTTGTGATGGGAGTAAAACAAAACCTTATGGGTGGAAATGATGGAAGCTTGAGTGAATAACTACCCATTATACTCGGTATAAACATTCTGCAAGTGACTAGTCTGAATTGGTAGTCCAAAAATGTCGGGTTATGAGTAAACTGAGTCACAGTATAGGTGGAAAGTAATAATCAATAAGAAAGAACAAAAAGACTGGAAAAAAAAAAAGGGAAGAAAGAGGCCAGAATACGGCACAAACGGATCATACATTTGAAAAAACCATGACCAGAGCTTATTTGATAGCTTGCTTGCTGGCCACTGATCTATATTCGATTAGCCAACTTTGAAGGTCTATAGCTAGAGATCTTTGCACCATTGTCTGGTCGGATCAAGATTTGAAATCACTAGATTGAAACTTTTTGTGTAGTCTAAATCTTGATTTGCTTTTCATATGCTTTTTTCTAAGCAGAAAAAGACTGTTTTCAGTTTTCTTATTATTGCATTATTGGTGAAAGTATTCTCATCTTCTTCTTGTTATGCATCCAAATCAATCAGAAACAGCATCACTTTTTTTCACTAATTCAATTTATCAGGAGAGTGAAATTGAATTTTTGGCCATAATTGGTTTTGCATGATCTTTTTAGTCGCTCTCCAGAGCTACTCACTCCCTATGTTCATGTATTTTAAACTGAAACCAGCAGATTTATACTTGAAATAAATATGCCCTACTCTAGATGGTGAATCATGACATATTATTGCTACCTAAAACTTGATGAGGGCCATTCATATTCCATTGGACACCCACCTATACTAAAACTTGTTGGCAGCTTGAGCTTGAGCGCTATTGGAACCAGAAACCGGTAGATTAATTAAAAAACAATAGTTCGCTGATTATACAAATATCTCATACTAAAATTTAGAATGAGGAAATGATTTCAGCCACTACCATGAATAAGTATAATCAATTGAACCCGCACAATGCGTTTAAAAGTTGGTTTTTGATTCAAACAATTGCATCCTTCACTTTCAGAAGAAAACAAAAATGGACATTCCACAAAAGCAAAAGGAAGCAGCGAAGAAAAGAAGCACTAGGACCCCATACCTAATAACCTAAAAAGCAATCCAGTTAAAAGCTTAACCTAAGAAAAGAAGCCCTAGGATAGTTGGACTTGTTAAGGTAGGTTTAGCACAATTAAAAGTTTTTCTAGATCATGGTTCTTAACAGATCATGAAAGTTTACAGCTTAAAATTGTGCTGGAAGGGCAGCCAATTGACCTGGCAGCTTAATTGGTCAAATGGGTAAACAGAAAACTGTCCAGACAACATGCATGCTTTTACCGCAAACACAAGAGGGATATGATAATTTATCCCTATCCAACGCTCCAATTATGCAGAAACTCATGCTGTCCACTTTAATAGTGATTAGACTAAAATAGCTTTAACAAGGAACTAGGGCCACCACTTTCTTCAGCCACAAGCCTCCAAAACTACTTAAAATGCAGTATAGAGCCAGTTTCACAAACACGAAGTTTTTCCCTGAGAAAATGGCTGCAGCAGCTCCTGTTGCAATAGGCACAAGGGGAACCGTAGGATCACTCCTCAAGAAGGAAATTGAGTACTTTACCAAGTTTGAGTTAGAGGGACAAGGGAGCTCCTGGAAACCTCGCGGACAAATAGTGGAAATGGAAATGGATTGCAGAAACGGCCATTCAAGGCCTAGTTTCTGGTTATTGATTACTGGCTGGAAAAGGAAGAAGCGAAGAGGCGGCAGCGGATTCCTACCAAGTATCTGTTCTGCTACAGAAGTTGCAGATAAGAATCAACTATACAGGATTCCTGGTTTCAATTACAGGATCCTTAAAAACGATGTGCATAACTTTCATATTTAGTCCATGTTACTGGAGCAAGCCTCTGAGTTCTCGCCATTCTCAATTGGATTTTAAGGAACAAATAGAGCTTTGCCCACCACCCTTAAAGTCTAGTGCTTCAACAAATATTGTTAATTATCTTTCTTCTCTGAACTTGTAAGCTATTCTATAATTTGGATCAGAGCTGAACATCACAATCCAGTGAGGAGCTTCTGAATTTTAGCTTTTGCTTATAAGAATTCAAACTTGGTTTGTGTTTCTTGTCTCTTGATGCTTTTATCAAACCTCTCTCCATAAAATCACTATCCAAGGTTTTTTTCTTTCTTAGAGACATATTCCTATTGAATTGTATATGCCTGTGTAATTTTTAGTTATCTGCCTCTGCACAATCTATGAATTGTATATGCTGACATACCAAATCTCAAAGGAAAAAAACTGTCTTAGTTCTACTTCGTCTTGCTCTGACTTGCTAATCTTGTTGATGCTATCCTATCAACTCCTAGCCTTGAGAAAAACAGGAATGAGATTCAGGTCAAGATTTGTAGTTTTTAAGCATCTTTGGAATTTAAGCAATTCTGAAATGTGATGGTGCCATAACAGCCCCGATGTGCCTTCTTTTTTGTTTCTTTGGACTGCCTCTCTCTTATTCTTATTCTTCTTTTTCCTAGTAGATAGTAGAAAGAAATCATTGTTTTTCTTCCAAAAATATCGCTATCAATAGAAATGATGTCTGCATTCTCCTATTGTCGTAAAAGCATCCCCCAACAAAATGCATTGATTATTGACAACAGCTCCGCTGGAGTCAACTGAACATGATAACTTACCACCAAGTGGCTCCCAGAATCATATTAGAAATGGCTACGATTGCTACACAAACCATTATACCCTTAATCAAATAGCTGACAGACTCACAATTATCTACACAACAACACCCTAATATGGTATGAACAACTTGTAGCTTGAGAAAATTTAGGTTCCAATTTTAGTTGGTTCAGTTCTGCAATATTTCCAAGCTTCAAGATTGCTCACCCCAGCTACATTATCTACAACCCACGGTCTCTTTGCTACTTCCTTCTTTCACGGATTTAACATGCATGCTACTGTTTTTTTTGTGATTCTGCAGCAATTGTCATTATCCTTTGCCCTGGCCAGAAACTCAAGGGCAGTTACAACATCACCAATCAATGGCCGCGAATCAGCTTCCTCCTGAAGACACATTGCTGCAACTGCAAGAGCTTGATAAAGACCCTTTTCAGGGCAATTCCCTTCAAGCAGAGGATCTGCCATCAACATGAACTTCTGCCTATCCTTAAATAATGGCTCTGCCTGAAAGATATGGATGAGAATGGATGATAAACTTAGGTTGATGAACTTAACTCAAAGCTTAAAAATCTAAAAGCATGCAAAGGTCACATGTATTTATAAGTAACACAATTATGTGGGAAGGCCAGAAATAAATGTCAAACGAAATGCTTGATCCCAGTAATGGTTGCAGATTTACCAGGTTGAATGATAGTAATAATATTAGAACTTGCATCGTTTAGTCATTATGGTTTTTTTTTTTTTTTTTGCTAAACAGGAAACGATAAAAAAAAATGGAATTTTGTTACTGAAAACAAGTGATTATGAACTCCATGAATATACCCAAGCAACCAGGTTCTGTTCTTCGGTCGGTCTTTCAATATCAATAGCTCTCCTCCCCGAGATAAGCTCCAGAAACACTACACCAAAACTGTAAACATCAGATTTTGTTGTCAGCTTCCCTGTCATTGCATACTCCGGAGCACAATAACCATAGGTCCCCATCACCCTTGTTGATACATGGTCCTTCCCTTCAGTTGGGCCTAACTTTGCAAGTCCAAAATCAGAGAGTTTGGGATTGAAGTTCGCATCTAGTAATATGTTTGATGCTTTAAAGTCACGATAAATTACTGGCGGGTCAGCAAAGTCATGTAGGCATTCTAGTCCTTTGGCTGCTCCTTCAGCTATTTTCATCCTAGTATTCCAATCCAGTGGCTCCTGACCCGGAGGTAAATCTCAATAAACAGATAATATAATCAGAATCCACATAACTATGTGTCAGATAGAAAGAATAATCTTGTCTGAAATCCAAGTGCCCATATTTCCACAATTTTCAGTACTTAATCACTACAACCAGCAAAAAAATTAAAGTCCCATAATTCCATTAATAGGCTTTCTAGTCTCATACAATCGGTTGGAAAAAATGAATTCAATAATGTAAATGAGTACTAAATAAATGAAAACATATGGTTTAACATACCTAGAAGATGATTTTCCAAAGATCCTTTTGGCATGTATTCATAAACTAAAATTCTTTGATCCCCATCTGTACAATAGCCAATCAGATTCACAAGGTTTGGATGGTGAACCAGACTTAACATCAGAACCTCTGAGAAGAATTCTCTACTTCCTTGCATTCCATTCCTATCAAGTTGCTTCACAGCTACAATCTAAGAAGTTAAAAACAAGCGTATAAACTTAGTGGGTCATGTTAGCACATGCATGAAATGTCCTCACCAAAAACAGCTGAGACAAAAAGAGATATACTTGATCAATGCTCTCTATGTATCCTTTGTAGACCCTTCCAAATCCACCTTCGCCTATCATACAATTAGGATTGAAGTTGTCAGTAGCAACTGCTAGTTCTGGAAATGTGAAAATATGAGCTGAAACTTTTGCTTTTCCAATATTTTGAATTTCTTCAGGTATCTTCTGCTTACTGCCACCTGCATATTGATTAACATGACTAAATAAAAGTTTCCAGGATTAGATGAGCATAAATATGGGGTTATTCATTTGCCTGGTTCTGGACGCTTTCAATCAGGAATAATGATTAACAGCAGGAGTTTAGCCCCAATGAGGCTTTTTACCTAAATATGCACTAGAAGATTAGTCGGTTTTATTTATATCAAATAAACATGATTCCTATTGCAGGGCTTTCCAAAAGAATCAAACTTGAAAATGTTCATGTTCTATCAATACCTGTTTTGCTTGATAACTTATTCATGAAAGACCTCAAGAATTTCCCATTTTTGTTATTGCCACCAACGGCATTGGTTCTCTCCTTAAAGGAAGCAGTGCGGTGCTGTACCTCCACCCTACAACAAGAGAAGCAGCTCATCATCTCCTTTTCTTCTTAATTTATCCTTTCTCAGAATTCTAAAACCTTTCTCCAATGTAGGAATCCTATGAAACCTATGTTCCAAAAAGAGGAAAAATGGGGAAAAAAATAAAAGAAATGAAGATCAGGGTTACAAATATAGTAGAAATTGAAAAATCCCATTCATATATATATATATAGCAAGGGCAAAGTCCTGATTTAATTCCATTTATCAGTACATCAGTTTCAGCTTGCTAAGTACAGTTGTCGTCATTTAACTTACATATAGAGATAAAACACGAGAGTAAAGAAAAAAGAGTTAAAATTGTTTGAATAGGTTTGGTAGAACAGAACACACTTCAATTCCATTTAACGAATTTTCCAACAACCTTGCATTCCATAATTTGGGTTTTGAATACAAGGGAGAGGATGTAGTAAATGGGAAGATGGGTGATTACCTGTTCACTATAAAGTAAGATTAAATACTACAAGCAAGAGATCATATGCCCACTCTTCTCATCATAACATATATGAATACTCTTTTTTATCATAACATATATGAATACTCTTCTCATCATAACATATATGAATACTCTTTTTTATCATAAATCAAACTATATTTAATTTAATTTAATTGATTTTTCTCCCTCTTTTGGAAAAAAAAATAGTTGTTATTATTCCTCCTTAGTAGAATTTAGCTGTAAGATTTGAATTCTTTTATCTTATATCATATGTACAAAAAAATGATACTGTAATACTAGTATTGCAAAATTATTCAACTTAATTTGACCATAATTTCTTCAAAATGATACTATAATTTAAGTTTAGAATATATTTTTTAATAAAATAAAATTAAAATTTTAACAAATGGTGTGCGGTGTTTTACATATAAAAAAAATCTATATTCCAAAAACAAATCCACTTCTTTTGTAATTTTAACTTTACTTTTCTTCTTTTTTTTTTACATTTTTTGCGTTGATGGGGGAAATATTACAGGTGGCACCGGTGACCCTTACGAATGGTCATCGTCAACTCATCCAGCCGGCGCTAACGCCTTGCAAAACCTTGGAAAATCAAAACACAACATAAGTTTTCAAAGAAACGCGGTTTGTTTTTTTATTAAGCAATGCTTTATCGATGGGGATTTACAGATCTCTGCAAATCCTAATCACGAAAAACCCTAAGAAAGTCCGAACTTTTTTGACCGCATCATCAACACATTCAAATTCAACAGCTTATGTGGTTCCACCCTTATTCTCTCCTCTCTTTCACAGTCGAGTCTCACTTTTTCTCCATCTCTGTCTAAATGGATCGCTCCTTTCAATGGCCCTCTCTTCCTCTCTTCTCCTCCTTGGAAACTCTCTCAATCCGCCACTCCGCTTTGGGGAAACGTCGGGGTTCTGCGAAAAGTCCAAGCTTTAAATCTTAACTTGGTTAGAGGCGGCGGAGCTAAGTTTCCAGTCAAGTTACAATTCAGCTCGGTCCTATCAGACCCGAGAGTCTTGGATCGGGTGGAAACCAAGAAGGAATGGAATAAGGAGAGGGAAGCTGTGTTGGAGAGTTTTGTGAATTTGCCGAATTTAATTTCAATGAGCCGATTGGTTTCTGGTCCTTTTCTTGGATGGTAAGTTTTAAAATCAATTTTGTTTTTTTTTTTTTTTTTTTCAGTAATTAATTAATAATGAGTTAAATGTAGGATGATTGTAAATGAAATGTATGGCTTTGCGTTTGTGGGCTTGGCTATCTCTGGTGCAAGTGATTGGGTATGGATTCTCTGACAACTTTTCATATTAATGGAAACAAGTAAAAGTTTTGTATAAATCGTGAGAATTTAAGTTCCTTTTATCATGTCTGTTGGTTCTTCTAGTTGGATGGATATATAGCTAGAAAGATGAGGATTAATTCGGTCGTGGGTTCTTATCTTGATCCTCTAGCTGACAAGGTAAATGACTAATGCCAATTACTTCTTTGGAGGTTTCTGTGACTGCTTCTGATTTTTTAATTTCATTTGACAAGTAGTTTATTTTCGGCCTTCTTGCCATAGGTTCTTATTGGATGTGTTGCTTTGTCAATGGTACATAACCATCTTTTGCACCGTAAGTGATCTGCATTTGTTTGGACCTTCTGCAATTTTTTGGTTGTTAATGTTCATTGAGATACCGAGTACATAACATATTTTGATGAATATTGTCTTGCTTTCCTTGCATCCACAAACAAATTTCCCATCGTGCAAATACACGAGGTCTCCTATGTCTAATGCTGAAATTATATTAGTTGGACTAAAAGTTTAAGAGTTGTACTAGTTTCTGATAACTGATCACTTCTTGCAACAAGAATAATTTGGAATTATCACACTGGATGACCATAGTTACACCTTATCTCAGCAGTTTTTGCAAATCATTGCCTCAGAATCTTTCATCTTGATTTCTGTTTCTCCTACCCTTAATACAGGGAATTGCAGCTGTTGTAGAACGGTAGTAATCTGTATATGTTATTTGATACTTACATTTTACACACATATAGGTATTATATTATATGTAAATGTTTGATGATGTCTATCTTATTAGTTTTCTGTGCTGTAAAGCTGGACTTGTGGGGCTTGTTGTCTTGCGAGATGTTGCCCTTATTGGTGGTGCAGTGTACCACAGAGCAAGTAGCTTGGGTTGGCAGGTGAAGTTGCTGAACTTAAAGTTTTTTAGCACATGTTTTTGTTCCAATTCTTTTATGGTTTGGCAAACTTTCGTAATCGTTTATCTAAGTCTTGGCCCTTTTTTTTGGATTTTTCTTTTTTTTTTGATTCAGTGGAAAAGTTGGCTAGATTTCTTCAATCTTGATGGGACTAGTCCGCAGAAGGTTGAGCCTCTCTTTATAAGCAAAGTAAGTATCATCTTTTCTTTTCTCTAATAGGTGGAATAAAAGGTTAGCAATGGATTCTGCTTTTCTTTGGCATTTTAACTACTACATATAGACAGTGAGAGCGAGGAGTGGAAAATTGAGGCAAGACATGGACAAAAGCCATCTAGAGAATGCAGAAAACCATGAATGCTGCTGCTTGTGAGAACAGCTAATTCTTCCATACCTGAGAAGACTTCAAAATTTTGCAGGTTAACACAGTTTTCCAGCTGATTTTGGTTGCCTCAGCTCTCCTCCAACCGGAGTTTGGAACGTCAGAAACTCAATCATGCATCACATACTTAAGGTAAACTGACTCTTTGCTCATTAGATCATACTCACTTAAATAGTTTACAAATCACAAAAACTTATGTTTAATAAAATATCAACAGTTGGCTAGTTGCTGCAACAACAGTGGGTTCTACCATCGCATATGGAGCACAACACATGGGAAAGAGACCGGGGTTGATCACAAGAAAGTCTTAGTTTGAATTCTTAGTGCAACTCATAGACAATTGATAAGTTCCTTTGGTCCTGGCAGCCCATGTATGAGCATATAGTGTCGTAGGTGGGAAGAACGGGGTTCATAGAGTACAAACTGGATGTACAGGCAAAGGAGCTTATTGATTTCTGGGAAATAGCCTGCACCATCTTGTAATGAAAGCGACAGAAACAATTTAACTTTCAATAAATACTGCATTGGCAAGGCATGCCATTTAGCGTAGAGTAGCTTGAAACTATAACTTACAAAATTTTGTTATTGATGCTAAATTCTGTTTTAAGAAATTATATTGATTTCTTCCATGTTTCATTCTCGCAGTCTATTTTCTCTTCTCTTGAGCAACATTTTATTGATAGGAATGATTTAAACCGTGTCCAATTTTGGTTTGATGAAGAAAAAACTTTCATTTAAACAGGACATTTCAAAAGTCAAATCTTGTCCAAAGGTTAATATCAGTAGATATGGATTTTATAATGTCACCATGGGTCAAACATGATTCACATTAGAGGATATGAGATTTTTCATCTCATTGCCTAGTGGTTAAATGTGCTGGAACCAAAGCACAACCTCCACACGGAAATATTTCATTTAGGACCACTGTAGACAAAAGTATGCTCCATCCTAATCATTTACCAACCTTCGAGTTTCAGGCAACAAAGTAACAAACCAATGTGTTAAATCGAAATATATATGCTCAAAAGGGGTAGGAATTAGGAATTCATCTGATAACTTTGAGGTGAAACAGATGAGAACAATAAACCATCTTCCTAATAGAAAATCTCAATCAGGGGAAACTTCTTTAAGTTTTGAAGAGAAAATCATGAAGCTGGTCCAAGATAAGTGTCAACATGCACCACAATTTCACTTTACAGCAAGGGAATGTGAGATTACTACTTCACTTTTGGAACGTGTTAGTGTACTAATTCCACTGATTCACACACTTACATACAGTAAACTAATGAGTTGTGATGCAAGAAGTCTCAATCACACACTTAAAATCAATCAATATTTTGTCTCAATCAACCATACTTCCCATGATGCAAGAAGTTATTATAGCTTATCCAATATACTAAACATGCTGCCTCCCCCTCCCCCAAAGAAAGAGAAAAACTTTCCTTCACTTTTAAGTTTTATCAATTAATCCAGCACTATAGCGAAACCAGCTTCAATACAACATCAACTGGATAACAGGATTTCATTCAAAATGGGCATAGATGTTTAAAGTGATAATTCCAGGGCATTTGATAACTCATTAAACAAGTCTTGGTAAAAGAATCATGGAAGGAAAAAAGTTCCACTGCCAAAATAATCAAAGTAATACAGCACTTCAGCATTCAGAGAACAGATGTTTTTATTCAACAAACAAAATCAAAACTATTCGTTAATGAGAAAACTGCCATATTCATTTTCATTTCAATAATAATTTGGCACAACTAGCTTTAATAATTCATGACCATTCTCTTACATAACAACCTCTAGGACACCCTCGTTAACTTCTCTATTGTGGCAAACCCTTTTCAATTTCATCCCACTTATCTGCTTTATTTGGGAACTTCTCCTTAACAATCTGGATAAGTTCCTTAGCCTCCTCAACCTTAGATATGCTAGCAAGTCCATTCACAAGCAATTTCATAGTTGAAAAATTCGGGAACCATTTTTTCTCCATACTCTCCTTACAAATACTCAAAGCAGTCTCAAAATCCCCACCTTGACACAAGAAATGCAGCAAAGTAAAATAACACTGACTATCGGGCTCTAAACCTCTATTCGCCATACTCTTAAACAGCATCTTAGCTTCCTCCAAATTCCCTTCCTTACAGAACCCATGAATCAAATGGCTAATTGTAACCGCATTCGGCTTTATCCCTTTTGACAGCATACCTTGAAGTAAAGCCTTAGCCTCATTAGACTTCTTCAACTTACACAAGCTCTGAATCCTTATATTATAAGTACTAACCCCAACAGGAATCCCATGTTCCTTCATCAAATTTAACACTTTCCCAACATCCTCATACTTCTCCTCCGCATAAAACCCAGCTAACAAAGTCCCAAAAGTCGTCGCATTTGGTTTAACCCCTTTGTTTTTCATATCAACCAAAATGGAATACACTGAACTCGAAGACCCAGATTCACACAAAGCTTTAATCGCAGTATTATAAGTTTCTAAATCGGGTTCAATCCCGTACCTTTTAGGAAATTCCACGAATATCCTCTTCACTTCTTTATAATCCTTCGCTATCAACCCTGCCACGAGCAAAGCGTTTAAGGATTTCGCCGAACAGCATAGCCCCTCATTATAAAAGTCGTCAAAGGCCTTTAAGGCATGGTTTAGCATCTTGGCTTGACCGTACAGGACTAAAGAATGGGCAGCGAAACGCTCGTTATGTAAGTCAGGACGGGAACGGAGTTCATGGAGGAAAGTGTCGATGGAGTGGAAATGGTTGCCTTCGCAGAGTTTGGAGATTGCGATGGAGAAAGCGACTCGGTCGAGGTGGGAGGCTGGGGTGAGGGAGGCGGCGCGGCAGATTTCGAGGATGCGATCAGGGTTTTGTTCGGATTTGAGGAGGGAGAGTGCGGCGCGTGATTTTTGGTGAGAGGTGAGAGGGGTGGAGGAGTCCGGAGAGAGGATTGAAAAACGGCGGAGGTGGAAACTTGCGACGGTTGTTGATGAACGGATGCGAGAAAATAAAGCCATCTTTTGGAGGTAGTGTAGGGTTTTGGGGTTTTTCGCTTTTTCTAGTTGGAGACCAGTGTCGATTGGAGTGGCCTACCGACAGAGGAGGCTTCTTTTACTGGCCCAAAAAAAAAAGGCCAGTGGAAACAAAAAGGGAAAAAGAGGACCCGCATTGATCTGGGGTTTTGAACCCGACGTGAATCGAACACGCGACCTTTTGTTCGGAAATTAGCCGCGCTATCTGGACCATCGGTTGAGGTTTCAAATTTTAATAAAGAAAATGATAGTTGGTGCAACAAAAAATGCTTTTATAGAAACAGAGCGTTAATAAAAATACTTGGATTCCCAAATCATTTAAAATATTTAAACTGTTTCTTTTAAAAATTAAGTTTCCAATTTCCAATTATGCGTAAATTTTAAAAATTCAATTAAATTTATAATTTCTACACAAATATCAATATTCCAAAATAAAAAGCATGTTTTTTTTCAATATTAGATGTTGCCTTTTTTATCAGCGAATTCTTAGACAATTGCAATGATGAGAATTAATAGTATTCATGCTATATCGATGTGATGGGAAAGATAAGATAATGCTTAATTGATTTTAGCCTTCGTTTTTTCCTTCTAAGACGTGGAGTTGCGGTGGCCGACTAGCAACTGTTTAGACAGTACTTGTAGGGCAAAGGCTGCGCGGGTTTGAAGAAAACAATTTGACTGTAAGTTGTAAGAGTTACGTCAATTATGCGCTCTCCATAGTCTCAATGACGTTGGAAGAAAATATAAACCAATCTTATTATGGTGAATTTTGTGATTTATTTATAAAATATATCAATTAATTTTATGATTTATAGATAAATTATTAAATTTTTAGTTGAAATTATCAAAATTAAAAAAGTGTTTGTGCATTATCATAAATAAATTTTATAATTTATATATTTATATCGTATAAAATAATAAAAATTTATATAAACGTATCATATTTTATATAAAATTTATGTAATATAATTCGCATCGATAAAAATATATATAATATATTTTTAATTTTTATTAAATTCATATAAATTTTTATTAAAATTTTGACCCCATTTCACATTCATATTTTTCTTTGTATCGTCTTTTATTGTGTTTTGAAATACTCAATCTAGATATTGCTATCTACCTTTTTTTTTAGCATATTTAATCAAATTAAAAATATGAAAAGAAGAAAAAGAAAAACAAATAGGAATGAAACGTGATATCTTAATTAAACTTTTTTTTTCATAAAATTAATTAAAAAATAAATATTAAAAGTGAAAAAAAAAGGTAAACAAAAAAAGTGAAAAAAAAAAATTAAAATGAGTAAAAAAAGAGCTACATGAGAGGATGTTACATTGACTTTTTATATTGAGTTTAAAATATAAAATTTTTAAATTAAAATAAAAAATTATTTTATTAATATAATACATATAAATGTTTTAAATTAAATAAATAATAAAATATAAATTTTTATAAATACTTTAGAATGAGTCAGCACAAAAGAATCGTAAATACATTTTTGATCCGATTTTATTTTTCTTTAAAAAAAACTCGAACCGTCTTAATTCATTCTTGATTTTAAAAAATCTTTTTTTATCGGATTGAGATAGATCGAAATTTATTAAATGCAAATGATTTCGGCATCTCTATTAATTGTTATAATTCATTGTAAAATTTATCTAATTAAAAAATACAAAAAAACAAAACATAAAAAAATTCAAATGAGATGTCATCGATAGTTTTTTTTTTTTTTACAAAAGTACTTTTTATTAAAGTGACAAAAAAAAAGAGAAATGAAAAAAATTGGAAATATTAAGAAAGAAAATTAAAAAGGAAAAAAATTCATAAGGGTACTAAACGGGAGACTCATCATATACAAAACTAATTTGCCATTTTTATCTATTGGCTTCTTTTATTACAAAAGTTAACTATTTAAAAAAATCAAAAGAAAAAAAAAAGCAGATTAAGGTGTCTCCAGGGTACCTATATTGTTTTTCTTTCACTGCATTTACATAAATAAAAAAATAAAAAAATCTAAAAAAACTAAAGCAAAAAAAGAAAAAAAAATAAAACGTCATATTAAAACCCTAAATGAAGGTTAAACAAAAGTTAAAATGAATGGATAGATGCATTACATTTTAATTATGTATAAATATAGTATTTTTATTAAATTAAGATATAAATAGTAACTTCATTTATATAATATTTATAAATATAAAAATAATTAATTAATTAAAAATAATTTAAATATATATAGTCAAGATAATAAGGAATAATATAAATTTGCCTTTAGTTTGACCTTTAATTTTGGTAAAAACATCGATTATATCTAGAATAAAAAAATACATTTATTGAATCCAAACAAAATCGAAACCCATCAGATATAAGTAGTTTTATTATTTATATCTCCATTAACATTTAAAAAAATTAATTTATCAATTACATTTCTTGTCAATTATTGATTAGAAAACAAAAAAAAAAAGAAATAAAAAGAGAAATAGGATGCTATGTGTTTACATACGTTGTTTTTTAAATTTATCCAATTAAAAGGATAAAAGAATTAAAGGAAGAAAAAAATTAGAAAAATAAAAAAATTACAGAAAAGCAAAAAAAACAAGTCAAGTTGTCACATGATATCAGCAATGATATAAAATTAAATAAATATAAGATATATTTTTTTATATATATTTGGGATTAGGCAAGATGGAACATCCTAAACTCATTTCCTATCCGGACTTGATTTAAAAAAAAAAGAAAAAAACTTGACTTAATCCCAGATTTTAAAAAAAACACATTTATTGGATTTCGGTGAATCGAAATTTATTGGATATAGGTTATTTTTCATCCTTACCTCCACTAACTTTTTTTTTTACAATTTATATAATTTTAAAAAATAATAAAAAATCAAAAAAATGGAAAGAAAAAGAAACCAAATGAGATATAACGTGAATTTATTAAATTAATATATTAAATGATAATTTTATTAATATAATACATATTTATAAATTTAAATTTAAATAAATAATTTATATATATATATCTAAGAGGATTAATTTTTTAATTTTACACCTTTTTTATAGCCATTGATTTCAATAAATCTAAGATATGAGATTAAATAATTTTTTATTTATTTGTCTTTTTCATTTCTTGAATCTATTAAAATCAATGGTTAAAAAATATGCAAAAAATGTAAAACTTTTTTTTGTACAACTTGATCCTTCCTTATATATATAGGGAAAGGATCAAGTTATACCAAATGAGAGGTCAAGTTATACCAATGTAAAACCTTTTAGTTTTACATATTTTTTTAACTATTAATTTTAATAGATTCACGAGATAAAAAAATTAAGTAAAAAAAGAAAAATACTTTAGTCTTATCCTTTTGATTTATTAAAATCCATAGTTAAAAAATTATAAAAAATGTAAAAAATTTTTGTACAAATCAATTCCTCATATATATATATATATATATATATATATATAAAGCAACACAATTAAAAAAAAAAAAAAACTAGGATTTAGGTTCAGAGGAATAAGGAAAACTTTTAATCTTTGGATTACATGAAAATTGACGTAATTAGGAGATTTAATAGGAAAAAGATCTTGCCAACTACTTAAAAATAATAGAGGATTTTATTATTTTATTTGATAGTGAATAATATATTTTTTCCTAAATTTAGGATTAACATTGTGGAGATCCCACTAAACTTGTTAAGTATTATCCACTTTAACCCAAATGTCTCACGGTTTTATTTCACAAAATGCGCCTTATAAGTATGGTTTTAAATCTCTACTTATATATTATAGCAGATCCTTAGAACATTCCACAACTCTGTTTATATATCATAGGAGATTTTTAAAACATCCTAATATGGATAGGAGTGTCACAACTGAGGCCTAACAAACACCGTATACTTGTAAGATATGATAGTAAAGATATGCAAAGTAAACTAAAAAACTTTCTTTCCAATTGTAGTAGCTTACTTCAAGAAAATACTTTCTATAAAAAGCAATCCAAAAGTAAGTGAAAAATTCAGAATCTCCCTCATGTGTGCAAGTTACACCTTTCCATCTATTATTTTCACTACACTGCAGCAAGTAGGTAACAAATCTGATCCTATCTTGCTCTCACGTACGCATAGCATTAAAGGCTTTCTTCATTTCTTCAATCCATAACTCAACATCATTAAGGTTTATAGAACCCTTAAAAGTAAGAAATGTAATCTTCTTAAACTCACCTAAAGCCTTTCACTCTGCAGAATTATCAACATGTTGCACCAGTGGCTGGTGTTGCTGTTGATATTTTACCAAACCGATAACCTCATCAATCAAACCTAAGACTTTATCATTATAGCCAGCCATAGCACCTTGTGCTATCACAGTTGATTAGTAAGAAATCGATTAATACTACCACCTCCCTAAGCATGTGGTGCAACAACATCACATTGACCTCAATTTTAACTTTGTGAACTATGGTTTCTCTCAAAATGAAAACTCTTAGAACCACCAGCCTTAATGTTAGTTGCGATCTCAGTAAGATTAAGTTTACAAATCTCGATAATGAGGCATATCGATTTAATAACAATAACAACATATTACAAAAATGTATTTTTAATAACCAAAAATAAAACAATTCTAACAAAAGATGTAAGAAGAAAGAAACATCCTAAACTTAAGTTTTCTACCCCACACTTATCATTGGCAAATGTCTAAATAGTTAAAATTATTGTTTGTGCATAACTATGATTGAAAAACCTGACTTTGATACCATTTGTAGAGATCTACACCCAACTTGTGAGGTATTGTCATAACGATTTTGGGATCGTCAAACATAAAGAATTCTAAAATTGAAAAAAATAAAATGAGTCACCACCAATATTTTTTAATGTGTGATTGACCACCAAAAAAAATTTTTTTTTAATAAAACTATAAAAGCGAGTTTAAAATTTATCAAAAAGATAAATTTTGGTCTACGAAAATTAGGTTGGGTCCGAGAGTCGATTTACGTGTCGGAAAGGATTAGCACTTCCACAATACCTATAAATTGGTACCATTTAATCATGCGCTATTTTCGATGTTGGATGAAATGGTTTCGGTTTAAAATTTAATAATAATCCTTTTTTATTATTTAAAAAAAATTAATTTTATTAAAATTCTTTATTTAAGAGTATCAAAAAAATTTTTAAGTTAAAGAATTATCTTAAAATTCTTTAACATTTAGGCAAAACTTTAAAAATAATGCTTTTAATTGATATTT